ACGTCCACACACACAGACACAAACATGCAGAAACACATACATGTTCCATTTCGCACTCAAGGCGATTTCCTGCAGTGGCCACAGGTGGGGTGGGACACGGGGGCCCCTCCGGGTGAGCCAGCCCGGGCTGGGTGAGAAAACGTTTCACTTAGGAGAGCGTGGTCGGGCGAGGGGCCCCGGGGGATGGTGGGACAGGGACCCGACGTGCTGAGCCCCGCGAAGCGGCTGGCTCGGTGCTGGACCTGCTGCGGAGGGCCTGGAGGCTCCGCACACGCCTCCAATTTGCAGAAGAGGAAATGAGTCAGCAGGGTGTAGCCAGTGTTCCCCGCGGGCTGACCACACTCAGCTCCCCGGAGTGGCCATTGGCATTTCTTTTAGTCAAAACGATTGCTATCACTGAAGCTTCACACGAGCAGGCGGGGTCTCCCCTGGGCCTGCTGGACGCACGGCTCAGAAACGCTCATCCGTGTTGCCAATATTTGCCGGGGTCAGCCACGTGCCTGTGACCTCTTCCTGCTTTTCCACCTCACAGCCTGGGCTGCCGACTTCATGAGCCGGAGGGGCTGCGGGCCTCTGACCGGCACCCCGAGCACGCTTATCCCCCGGGAGGCCAGCCCTGGCCCAGGAGGCACTTGCTCTCCAAATCTCTCTCCACTTACCCACCGTTCCACCATTCAGGATTCACTCCTTTGACTAGATCACAGTCTCTCCACTGGCTCTAGAAAAGGTTACACTTTCAGGCACTGACACCGGACAGGTGTGGGCCCTGCTGGGAAGGACAGTCTGCTCAGGTGAAGCGGATACGAGGCTCCAGGCTTGGTGCCCGGGCTGAATCTAACCCCCTCGAGTGGGCAACTTCCTTGCCACCTGCATGGCTGGCATAACAGGTGAGTGGGCTCCCCGGCTCTGTCCCTCTGAGAACCCAGGTTATTTCGGCCACGAGCAGTGACGCCCAGAAGTGGCGAGGAAAGGTCTCAGAGGCAGGGGACTCGGCAGGCACTCAGCACGAGGTGCCAGCTCTGCGGGAGGCCCTCTAGGTGTGACCCTTGGGTACTATGGTGCCCCCAGGCAAGAGCTGGATGCCTGGCTGTCCCCCTGAGCGGGTCCGGGGTAGCTCTTCCTCCCCGCACCTCCCCCCACAACGGTGCCCTGCGGGCCCAGCCCAGAGCTGCACGCAGGGCTTGGGGCAGCAGCCGCCTGGGGGCCGGTGTGAAAGTCCCAGCCCTGCAGAGTCCGTGGGAGAGAGCGCAGGCTCTGGGGGGTTGGGGCCCGGACGGTGAGCCCAGCTGGGGCCAGGAGGAGCCGAGGGCCACAGCTGAGGGCCGTGGTTTGTCCCCTTGAAGGATGTGATGGATGCTCGGGAGCCCGCTGGCCTCCCCCCAGCTGACGGGGACCGGCTTCCACCGGAGGGAGGCGGTCTGTCCCTTCCCTCGACAGCCCAGGCCTGTTCCCGGCCCTGCACCGAGGGAGGCGGGGTCAGGGTGTAGTGTCCTGTCCTAAGGCTCCGGAGTGATGGCCGGGCCGGCGGGAGCAGGGTTTCGTCTGAAGTCAGGGGCCCCGTCTTGGGGCCGGGCTCCTGCGGCTCAGCAGGAGCTGCCTGCCCTGCAAGCTCGCGGAGGCCTGGCTTTGTGCAGAGAAGCTGTGGTTTTTTTGGTTTTTTGTGTGTTTTTTTTTACCACTGTGGGGAGGAACACGGTACCTGACATGGTTTGCGGTCCTCTTACGGGTGCGAGCCTGTCGCTGCGCACCGAAGTCCATTTCTATTCATGGTTTCTCTGTTTTTTGAAGACAATGAAAAAAAATTTTTTAATGTTCATTTATTTTTTTAGAGAGACACAGAGACAGAGTGCCAGCAGGGGAGGGACAGAGAGAGAGGGAGACACAGAATCCCAAGCAGGCTCCAGGCTCCCAGCCGTCCCGGCCCGACACGGGGCTCGAACTCACGAACCTCGAGATCGTGACCGACTGAGCCGCCCGGGCACCGCTAAAACTATTCTTTAAAGAGTTCTTTGTACATTAGTCTTCACCCTTTGTGACAAAGGTTGCCAACTCTTTCTCCCTAGTTTGCTATTTGTTATAGGTATCGATGCTCTTTATTGCTTCTGGATTTTCCGTCACGGTCAGAGAGATCTCCCCCGCTCCCAAGTGTAGAAAGAACGTCACCCCCGCTTTCACGTTTTTACAGTTAGGTCTGCGATGGCTTCGAGTCCCTTCTGGGAGTTCACTCGGTGCGAGGCACAGAGTCAACCCTCCCCCACACGGCCCGGGCACCATTTACCGCGATGTCTGCTTTCTCCCCAGCGACGCTGGGGCCGCGCCCGTCAGATACTGAGTGTCCTTTGTACTTGGGCCTGGTTGTGGACAGTCATCTTTGTCCACTCGCCCGGAGCACGTGCTGTGACTGCGGAGGGTTTGAGCTGTGTTTGGTGACCTGACCACAGTGCCACCGCCCGTGCGTGTCTCCTGCGGCGTTTGCTTGGCTTTCTTGCTGGCTGTTTTCATACTGATCTGGGAATCTGGCATCCAGCCTCAAAGCACTCTGGCGTTATTATTTGTTATTTTTATTACTATTATATATTTACGATTCTATATTATGTAATTTTATGCTAATGACTTTACTATTATTACTGTATCATCAACACGTATGTGTTAACTTGGGGGGAACTGACATCCTTAGGATGTTGGGATATCGTTTCTAAGAGCAAGGGATGACTTTCCGTGTTTTCAAGTCTTTCGGGAATTTAAAAAATTTTTCACTGGAACCAGGATTTACACATTCCCTGTTAGATTTATTTCTAAGCTCTTTACAACTTTGCTGTTACTAATATTTTTCTTCTCATTGTATGCTATGTGAAGCCTGTTGGATGCTTATTTTTTTTTTAATTTTTTAAATGTTTATTTATTTTTAAGAGAGAGAGAGAGTGTGCATGAGCAGGGGAGGGGCAGAGAGAGAGGAGACACAGAATCCGAAGCAGGCTCCAAACTCTGAGCCGTCAGCACAGAGCCCGATGCGGGGCTCGAGCTCGCGAACCGTGAGAGAGATCACAACCTGTGCTGAAGTCAGACGCTCAACCGACTGAGCCTCCCGGGCGGCCCTAGTGCCTGTTAATGTGACATTCCGCCACCGTCCTGAGGCTCTCAGTGCTTGTGATTGGTTTTGTGGTGTCCATTTCTTCCAGTGTCACTATCACGCTGTCTGCAGATAGGAATTGGTTTTCCTCTAACTGTTCCCTCTTGTCCGGTTTCATCCACTCGTATCTTAGCAGGAGCCGCGACTCCTCACTGTCTTTCTGACTCGGCCAGACGTGGTCTGTTCCCACCGAGTGGGGCGTCGGGTTGTGGGCGCGCCCTGTGCGCACGTAGGCGTGTACGCGTGATTAAGAAATGACCCACCACTTCCTAATGCGCTAGCATCTTTTAGAACAGGAAACAGATGTTATATTTTCTCAGAGGCCTTTTAAGTGTCGGTGGAGATAATCGTATGATTTTATTCCTAGATTGATTAACAAGGGGGATTATATTAAACAGTGGCCCAGTATGGAACCATTTTGCATTCTTCGTGTTAAACTCGTCATCGACTTTTTGTAGTAATTTTTAAGTTGCCTCCCACGTTAGTAATCAGTTCATCAGAGCTTCGTATGGAAATTATGAAAACTGTGTTCTTTCCATCAAGTGCAGTGTTCCTTAAATTTAAGTCACGCTTCCCAGCATGTGGGGGTTGCTTTATGACGTTGAAGTTTTCCAAAACAAAGACCCTAAACTCCTCAGGGAATTCTGATAATTTGCTGATATTATTTATTACAATGTGCACAGGTTTGCTTTTCCTGTACGAACTCACTGGTTACGTTTACTACATGAGTGGGGCGCCTGGGTGGTTCAGTCGATCGAGTGTCCTACTCTTGAGCTCATCTCAGGTCTTGATCTCAGGGTTGTGAGTTCAAGCCCCGCATTGGACTCCTTGCCGGATGTGGAGCCTACTTAAAAAAAAAAAAAAAATTTACTAAGTGAGCACCAGAAGCTTCTGTCCTGGAAGTACTTGTGCAGAGGCCACGTTCTCTGGGGACAGACGTGCCAGCCAGCCTCTAACCTTGGCCCCCCAGGACCCTCCCCTCCGTCCTGGGGCTACAACCTCTGCTATCACCCCCGGCCCCCCGGCCCACAAAGACTCCTTTCAAAGGGGGCTGGACGGCCCCCCATCCTGGCACCAACCCTGTGTGCACCTGGTCCTCCTTCTGGAAGCTTCCGTGTAGCCCCATCAGGCCTTCCAGAAGGCACACAGGGCTGGCCTCAGAGACCTGGGCCTGCTCACCCCTCCCGGAGCAGCCCCTCCGGGGAGGGGAGAGGGAACTGGGGCCCAGAGGGAGCAGCCTCACTGCCAGGCCAGGTGGAGAGCGGATGAAAATGGGGCGAAGGGGCAGCCACGGGAAGTTGGGGGGAGGGGCGGAATTCTCCTTTCACTCCTGCCCGGCCACGAGGACCCGGGGGCGTGCCGCCCTGAGGGTCGGATGCTGGCGGATGGTGGGACCCGGACCCTGCGTCCAGCCCGCTCCCCTGCAGCCTCAGGCTCCGGCCACCTTCCCCCGCGTGGCCAGCAGGTCTCAGGGCGAGGAGGCTGCTCGGGCCTCCGGGGCGGTGGGTTCTGGGCAGCCAGGCACCACCTGTGGAATCTCTACCCCAGCATCTTCTCAGGACCCCGTGACCCACCCTGGACCTCTTCTTGCCTTTCCTCCTCGGTCTTCCCTTTGATCCTAATTCTGTAAAGAGGCAAGAGACGCCCCGTGGGAAGATGGAGGCGACGCAGACCAGCCTCCATGGCATATGCCCTTCCTTGCCTGCCCTTCCAGAAGCCTCTGTCAGGCCAGGGAGACTGGCAGGTCTTAGTGATGGTTTATTGACGAAAGGTTGGGGGGGAGAAAGGGCTGCGGGTCCGGTCCCCCCTCGGCTCAGGGAGGCCCCAGAGTCCAGCCAGAGCCCCGGCCCTCCCCCCAGACCGCGCTGGCTCAGCGGGGGCCCGGCAGCGGCTGCCCCGCCCCACCCCGCCCAGGCTCCCGGCTTCTGCACCCCTCTGCAGGCGTCTGGGTGTCTCTAGGCCCCGGGGCCGGCTTCCCTCTAGGAGTTCGGTACTTGTTCTTCTGGCTGTACAACAGGTTCCTCTGGAACAGGCGAGGAAGGCGGCCATGATACAGCAGGACGGCCAGGACCATCCCTGCAAGAAACCAGGCGTCAGACCACAGGGCCCAGTCGGCTCGATGCAGCATGAGGCAGCCCGGGTGCTCACTGAGCCGGGACCCTCAGTGCGACGGGGGCCCCGCAGGCCTGGGCCTGGGGGAGCCTGCGCACCTCCGTCAGGGAGCCAGCGCCCGGACCCTGGTCTGGCCCTTCCCACACCTCCCTCCCCTCCCCGCCCCCTGCGCCTACCCCTGGGAGACGTGCATGACCCATCAGGAACCGGGCTCACTTCTCGGCCAGGCTCCGGGGACCTGGGCCTGGTGTCGCCGGCACAAATGTCGTGGGCCGCGTGCACAGCCTCTTTCTTCCCAGGGCTGCCTCCCAAGTGACCTGTCATCCCTGTGCATGGCTGTGTTGGGCGTGTAGGCAAGAGTGGAGGTGACAGCGAGGGAGGAGACGGGTGTGGGTGGGGCCGGGGCTGGGAAGTGCAGGGTGTGCTGAGGGCAGGGCCCGGCCCCTGGTTCCCAGGTTCTTCCCGGAACTCGTGGAGCAGAGAATCCTAAATTCTCACGTGGCCGCTAGGGTCACTGGGAAGGTAAGTGGGCCACGGCGGGACAGGAGAGCACATTTTCTTCAAGTGTACGTGAATCTTCTAAGGACTTACACAGGGAAGCCCCCTTGAGCCCGAGGGCTGTTCTCAGGTGCACACGGCCCGTCCCCCGGGAGGCGGCGGGGGAGGAAGTCACAGGGAGGGCCGAGAGAGTTAGTGCCCTAACTGAAAACCCAGAAGTGGCTCTGCGAGCCTGTTATGTAGGGAAGGGGGAGGGGTTAAGGAGACCCTCGCTGCCTCTGGAGGGGGGCGGGGATGCGGGCAGGGCAGGGACTGCTTCTCTTCCCGGTGCTTTCTGTGGACGGACCACATGCACCGGAGGCCGCTGTCAAGTGGAAAGTGAAGTCGCAAATAGGAACGATGGGAGTTCTCATGGCTCCTACAGCTGCCTGGGAGCCCCGGGGAGGCCGAGGCTGTGCTCCCCGAGAACACGCCCACCGTGTAGACAGAGAGAAGTGGAGGAAGCTTCCAGAGCTCCACTGGACCCCGCTTACCCGCCGGACAAGGTGTGGAGAGTGTGGTGAGGCCGAGGGGCCAAGGCCAGGTGCTGGAGAAGCAGTCCCTGCCTGGGCCCCGGGCTCAGGGTCCGTGAGGGCGCCCTGCAGGCGTGGGTGCGTCCCTCCTGCCCGCCCAGCACCCACGTCCACCACAAATGCTTTGCGCGGCAATCCCCAAGCCACTGTCCAGGCCTGGCCTTGCCTGCTGCCCACGGAGACTCCCAGGTGACCCCTCTGCCCTTACCTGTCAGAGGACCCAGCCAGTACACCTGCATGTACTCCAGCAGGGTGTGGCCCGAGCAGTGGAACGTGGCCCAGGTGGCCAGGGCCGGGTTGAAGAAGGCGGACGTGAAGGGCCCAGCTGTGGGAGGAGGCACAGACCGTCCCCGTGGGGCCCTGCCTGCGGCCGCCTCTCCGGCCAGGAGAGGAGCCACCCCGGAGATCCCCACCGTGGCTCCCGGCACACAGGCTGGGGCTCAGCCTGTCCTCGCCCCCCTGTACTGATGGGGACGTGGGCAGGAGGGCTGCTCGGCCAAAGCCAAAGGTCCCCGGATCAGGGAGCAGCTGGGACAAGAGTCCGTCCGCAAACCTCCCCCACCCGACCCACCGCTCATCTCCCCCAGCTCTTTTCCCCTCTGTCCACCTGGGGGCACTTGTCCTTGAGAGAAAGGGAGACAGAGACAGAGAGATGGAGAGAGAGACCGAGACGGTGAGACAGGGAGACAGGCAGAGACAGAGAGAGATGGTGGAGAAGGGCTGAGCCCAGTGAAGGAACAAGAGAAAGGGGAAGGGGCGGGGCAGGTGAGGAGGGGCTGGGGGAAAAGCCAGCGTCCTTCAACCGCGGCCACGTCCGCCGCTGCCAAAGAGCGCCGGCCTCGTCCGGGCAGACCAGAGTGGGAAGCGTCTGCAGACCAGGATCTCCAGGAGGCGCCCTGGGTGGCGGCAGGGCCGACTCAGGCGCTCCCGGCATCTCCCCCCGGGCGGGACCCCAGGCAGTCCGGACGCACAGCCCTGCTCCTGGCAAGTCTCTGCTCACCCGTGACTCAGTTTCCCCGCCTGTGCGCGGGCTCTCGCGGCGCCTTCCCGGGCACGCGATGTCTGTTCTGTACCAGACCCTGGACGGCGTCTCAGAAAGTCGGCCCTCTGGTTCTGTCCCTACCGGGCCCCGCCCGCCCCCGAAAGCAGACTTGGGAGAGCTGGGCCCTCGGGCCCTTCCAGGTGTAGCCCTAGCGCCCCGAGCAGGAGTGAGCCGCCGGCCACATGACCTGCACCCCACCCCCACAGCTCTGTTCCCCTGCCCGGGACAGCTGCCCTGTGAGGCCAGCAGTCCGGACATCCCACAGCTGACCTCAGCCCTCTGCTTGCACCACTGGTGGGAAGGGTGGCTGCGTGGGGTCCGGGAGACGGGGGCGGTGCCAGGGAGCTTGGTCAGGAGGCCCGGGGCCCGAGGCGCGGGCGAGGATGGGAGGGGGGAGGCGCTGCCCTCCCTGGAGACATCTGGGGCCAAGTGGGGAGGGGGAGGGGGCGGGGGCAGACACGGCGGGACCTGGTGCTCTTGGATGGGGCGGCAGAGGATGCGCAGGGGCTTCCAGAGCGGGGCGGGGCCTGGCCTGGGCCCTGAAGAAACCGCACTGGCTGCCCCTCCCCTCGCCCCGACCTGTCCCGGGAGCCGGCCTCCTGAGATGGCCAGGAGCAGCTGGGATGTGGAAGATCCAGCCAGAACGACGGCCCCGACGGGGGCCCAGGTCCACCCTGCCGCACCGGGTCCTGTCCAGCCGGCCGCCGTGCCACCACTGGGTTCCCGGGAAAGGGAGGTCGGCAGCTTCCGTGGGCCGGCGGTCCCCCTTGGCTGGCGGCCTCGCCCCCGGGTGTCCGCAGGTGCGGGTGGGCGCGGTGGCCACGCGGGTGCAGAGGCTCTGACGTGGCCCAGGGGAGAGGCAGCCCCGTCTCACCTGTGTGGGTCATGACGGTGGCCAGCAGGGCCACGGCCGGCACCCGGTAGGCGGGCAGGCTGTTCCGGAGGCGGAGGAGGGTCAGGTGCAAGAGGAAGGCGCCGGCGCCTTCCACGAGCGCGCCGTGGGACACGGGCGTGCGCAGGGGGGAGCTGCAGTGCGGGTCCAGGAGGTTCTGGAGGACGTGCAGGTCACAGAGCTCCCAGGCCCAGTACAGCCGGGTCAGGGCACAGGCCGCCCGCACACCGAGCCCCTGGGCCGCCAGCTTCAGCAGCGTGCGGGGCACGGAGGCCTCGGCCAGGAGGAAGTCCTGCAGGGACACGGTGGGGTTGGCCGCAGCGCCGTCGCAGGTCGCCCCGTGAACCAGGAAGAGCAGGGTGAGCAGGGTGAGCAGCAGGTCGGGGCCGAAGCCCCCCGCCCAGGGGCCGAGCTCCGCCAACATCCGCATCTCCAGACAGCAGGCCCCCAGCTGGGCCGCGCCCACCGCCTCCCGGGCGAAGCTGGCGTAGGCGCCCGCCGGGAGCAGGGCCTTGCACGCCCTCCTGGCCGCCTGGCAGAGGACGAAGGTGGCGAAGAAGAAGGAGAGGGACACGTTCAGACTGGCCATCGGCCTGGGGGCCCCTAGAGGAGCAGGCCGAGCGGGGGACCCGAGCCGACGTGTCAGGGCTGGCGCGCCCTGAGCCCTGAGCCCCGAGGACGGGGCCGCTGTGGGAGAGTCCGCCTGGGCGGGCTGTCCCTGCGAACGCCACACCTGTGCCTTCACCTCCCCGCCCCCCCACCCCCCACCTGCCGGCCCGGGAGCAGAACCACAGGGGACGCCCATAGGTCAGGCGTCCTCCCTGGGGCCTGAGGCACGCCTGGCCCCCTGCCCCCACTCGGCCAGCCGCGGGTGCTGGACGCAGCTTCAAAGCCTCCGTCGGAGCTCCGTGACTCACGGCCCGGGCCCTTGGCTCCGTGGGCACGGCCTGGCAGCTCCCTGCCCCTGTGCTGTGTCCCACCTGGGTGAGGGGCCCTGGCTCTGCCTCCACTGTGGGTCCCCTGGCCCCAGATCCCCCTGTGAAGGCAGCTGCGTGCCGGGCCAGGTGTCCCCACACAAGCGAGGGAGGGAGCCGTGGGCGCTCCGGCCTGGCCGCTCCGGACTCCTCAGGAAGCTGACCCTGCAGAAGTCTGCCCGGCCCACCATGCACTTTGCTTTTCCTGCCTAGCAGCCTAGACTCATAACGATGCATTTCCAAGAAGCCTGGCTGGCTGAGACGTTCAGGTGCTTCCTTCCGGACCCAAGATCACAATGACCTTGGAAGACTAGACCCGTTCCCCCTCGGTAAGCAGAGACTGCCTGTGAACGGCCCTCCTGGGGACAGGCTGTGGGGCCTGGCTCTCAAGCCCAGAGCAACCGGGGACTTTGGGACACTGGCCAGGCTTCAGAGACACGAGCTCGGAGGTCGTAGTCTCAGGGGCTTGAGGTCACCGACACGTCACAGTGACTGTAGTATGCCATCGACCTTGGGGAAGAGCAGACATTAAGCAGTTGCGTTGGGTCACTGACGGCGGCTGGATTCAGCGGCCAGCCCCTGGTGGAGGGGTCATTCCAGGCAGAAGGAGATGGCCTGGCACAGTGCAGAGACCGCTGGATGGGGAGCTTGCCGGGGGAGGGGTCTCTGCCAGGCTGGGGAGGGGCCTCTGGCCCTGAGCTCCTCCCTCAGGACTGGGAGGGGAGGGGGACAGAGGCTGGGAGGGGCGTGGCACTGGGGAGGGAGGAGCTTCGGGTGAAGGCCCAGGTCAAGGTCTCCTGGACATAACAGGCCCAAGGCAGTGGGCACAGTGGGGCGGGGAGATCAGCGGGGCAGGTGGGCCAGTGGGAGATGGGCACCTCGTCACCTTACCCCATGTCCCAACCCCCGTGCCCCGCAGATGGACAGACAGAGCCATGGAGATGGGCTCTGAGCACAGCAGGTGGGCTTTCCGCAAGGCAAAGGCCCCACCGTCCAGACACCGCTGGGGGTACGGGTGACGCCTCTGCCCCTCCTACCCTCACCCTGTGCCCACCTGGGGGTCCCCAAGGCCTGCAGCAGCACCTCACCCCTCTCTCTCACAAGCCTTCCCTATCCTGCTTCCCCCTGCCCCTCAAGAGAAGGCCGGCCACCCACTTCCTTCCAAGGAGTTCGGCTGAGCAAGACTACTGGAGAAAAGGCTGGGTATGACGTCACCAGGAGGGGGCCCCCTGAGAGCGCCTGACTCCTGGGGGACCGTGACTAAAGTCCTGGACGTGTCCCAAATGGCCCTGTCACCTGCAGCACTGCAGGGTTGCTCAGCAGGGCCCAGCTCTGGACCGCGGCCCCCTCTGGAGCAGGTGCACACATTCACAAGGAGGCCCAGCGGTAGCTCCGCCTCCTTGAGAACCAGCCTTCCTGCGGGGCGGGGGGGGGGGGGGGGGGGGGGGGGGGGCAGAGGGGCCTCACCTCTGGCCCAGCCTCCGCCCCCCTGACCCTCCTTTTGTTTGTGTGGCTCCAGTCCAAGGGCTCCCCCCGCCCCCCTGGCAGCCTCCCTTTGCGTGGACGCAGGGGAGACTGACAGCTAGCAGGGGGGTCCAGAGCATGGGTGACAGGTGCTGCCTTTACTCTGGTTGTCCCAGTAGAGGATTTTGAGGTCCAGAACTTTCCTGGAGGTGGGGAAGGGGCCTGGGCCCCAGGGGGCAGGGGTGAGGTTAACCCCACAGGAGCTCTGCCTGCTGCTCCCCCTGGAAGGCCGACAACCGTCCAGACCCCAGCCCCAGGAAGGGGTGTGGGGGGCAAGGGGTCTGTTCTTTCCTTTAAGGTCCCGCCCTGTTGGAGGAGCGGGGAACAGGTGGAGCCCTGGAGTCCGTGAGCGGAGAAGCCGGGGCTCCCTCAGGGATCACGCAGAGACCCCCTTCCACCCTCCAACCCCCTGCTCCAACTGGGGTGGGGGGTGGGCCTGGCCCAGTCAGAACACACAGAAAGTGGTTTTAGACCCAGGAAGCACATCACCGAGAACACAAGCCTGGCTAATGCTCAGTGGCTATTCATGCTGAGCGATCAGCGTGAGTTCAATCTTTATTTTTGCCTAAGTTTAACTTTTATTTACTTATTTATTTGTATTTGTTTTTGAGAGACAGGGAGAGAGAAAACGCACCTACACGCATGCTCGCACAAGCACACACGGGGGAGGGACGGAGAGAGACAGAGAGGGAGAGAGAGAGAAAATCCCAAGCGGGCCCTGCTCTGTCAGCACAGAGCCCGACGTGGGGCTCCATCCCAGGAACCGTGAGATCATATGATCATGTGAGCCGAGACGCTTAACCGCCTGAGCCACCCGGGCGCCCCATCATTTTAACGGGGCCAACATGCACGCCGTGGGGCAGCGGGATAAAGCCAGGGGACAGGCGACGATCACAGGTGCTTACTCCTCCGTTGTCAACGCGTTCTCTAGGACCACGGCCCGCGACTGCAGCGGTGGTCACACTGCTGAGCCTGGCGGCCTCCCCAGGGGGGTGTCGGGGGAGCTCAGACCCTGTTGTGTCCGAGTCTGCTTCCTTTCAACTGCTGCTGACAGAGGACGTCCTGTCTCGCTCCCAGTCCTGAGGGTTCCCACTCCCATCTGCCCGTAGGGATGGCGTTAGCTGTGGGCTGCTGAGAGACGTGCCTTGTCAGGTTGAGGACGTGATCGTCCACGTAAAGGCTCAGGTAGCAACGGACGTTACATTTGGTCAAACGCTTTTTCTGTGTCTGTGATTTTTCTAATTTTTCTGATTTTTCTGATTTTCAACCAGATTTTTGTTGGTTTAACGTGGTGAATCACACTGATCGGTCTTTGAGCCAACCCCGCATTCCCGAGGTTCGCCCCGCCCGATCACGAGGGATTATCCTTCTAGTCAGTAGATTCGATTTGGCAAAACGTTACCGAAGATACGTTTTCTTTCTTTTTTTTTTTAATTTTTTTTTAACGTTTATTTATTTTTGGGACAGAGAGAGACAGAGCATGAACGGGCGAGGGGCAGAGAGAGAGGGAGACACAGAATCGGAAACAGGCTCCAGGCTCTGAGCCATCAGCCCAGAGCCCGACGCGGGGCTCGAACTCACAGACCGCGAGATCGCGAGATCCCACGAGATCGTGACCTGGCTGAAGTCGGACGCTTAACCGACTGCGCCACCCAGGCGCCCCGAGATACTTGTTTTCTATGTCGCTGAGACACTGGTTTGCATCTCATTTCCTTGCAATATCGTCGTGTGGTTTTGGTACCGGGTGAAGCTGACCGTACAGAAAAGCTCTGAGGCTGCCCGGGCACGTGGGTTACGCAGCCAGGTGCGGCCGGGTGCCGAGGGAAGCAGGCGGGTGCTCCCGTGACCGTCGCCCCTCACCCCCCTCCAGGCTCTCTTCCCCCCTGCCTCACCGGTGTGGGAAGTGGGTGCTCTCCGGACAGTGCTGGACCTCTGACCCCAGGGGCCATTCTTGGCCACATCGAACAGACTCAACACACAAGTAAGGCCACAGTGGACACCCGCGGGTCTGATGTTGCATAAGGAGCCACATTTATTTCTTAATTGGACAGATTCTTAAGTGCACACACACAGTACAGGAGCCTAGAGCCTAACACTCAGGTTTAGGACGTCAGGGAACTCGAGTCGTTACGTCGGGATGGTGGTTACGGTGCAGGGGCCAGGGTGTGCCACACAACCACATATGTACAAGCTACGGGGGGACGCGGGGGACGGCCAGCTGTGGGAAGCACCGGCCTGGAAGAAGCCATAGAGTCTGTTGATCCCTGGGGGCACTTCCCCGGTCCCCGGGGTAGAAGGAGGGCGCCTCCCGGGGTCCCGCACCGGAGGGGGCGGACGGAGGACCAGCACTGCGATCCGCTGACGCCCGAACCACCAGCGACATTCAGGAACTCTCCCCGAGTGCTTCGCCACGCCCGCCCGACAGGTGCGGAGGGGGAACCGGGACGGAGGGGGAGGCTGCCTCCCTGCAGCCACCCGGAGCGTGTGTGTGCGTGTGTGTGATCGGTGACCGAAACGTTGGCATCTTAGGAGTGATTCCTCGGAACACGGAGGCCTTGGAACTTGGGAACACGTCAACACCCCTGGGCACCAGCTGGGTCACACTGGAGCCTGGAGCCCAGCGCCCCCCTTCCTGGGACCACAGCGTATCAGCGGGGGGACTCCCCGTCTCCCTGGAGGAGACAGAGAGCTTCTCTGGGTGAGGACGGCTATCCCTCAGAGCAAAACAAGTGCCATCAGGTGGTAAAAAAAAATCCCAGAGAGATGGCTTTCTGGATCTTTCTTCCCTCCCCACTCGGTGAGACATCACAGCCACAGCCATGCCTGACCTCCCTCTGGGAAACCGCAGCCTCCCTCGTCACAGATGTGAAGACTGTGGCCCAGTTTGCTAAGTGCCGTCCCCTCTGACGTGACACATTGGGTAGCTTCTAGCAGGGCGGACAAGGGACCAGGTGTTCTGACTCGGATCTCTCTCCCCACCAACTCCGAGGGTCTGGCAGGGGACAGGGGGTCCACGTGGCCCACACCTGGCTCGCGGGCACGGGCACCAGGGCCAGAATCAAACGGTCTTGGGGGCACCTCCATGGCTGTGGAGGCTCCCGCGTATGGGGCGCGTCCCCCCTTCCCTCAGCCCCACGAGGCAGGTGCTCTGCAGGCTGGCTGGCCTCAGACCCCTGCGCCCCGGGTGCGGGGGCCTCGGAGCCTTCCCAGGCCGCGGCTCCAGGCTGGCTGACCTGGGTGCCCTGCGGCCCGGGCCCTGCACCTCCAGTCTCCCCGCGGGAAGGGGGGCTGTCGGGAACCAACTCATCTAGGAACCACGTCCTCCTTCCCTGGTCCCCTCCCTGCCCTCAAGGCCATCACAGGAGCCAGAATAAATGCTTGCTCTGGACTGTGCCATACCCCTGCCCTCTGCGTCTCGGCCCGGGAACGTCCGGTCTCCGGACGTTTGCTCTCTGTCCAGGATGCGAGCCCTCCTCTGGGGGTCCCCAAAGAAGGCCGCTGGGTCCCCGCGTCCCACAGATGTGGTTTCCTGGGACGCGTTTTCTGCCAATGGAGCGATGCCATCAGTGGTGACTTCCGAGCACCGGGACGAGGGGAGCGGCGGGTGGAAGTGACCGCTGACGCACTGCCCAGACCAGCTACGGGAAAGGCGCGCTCACAGCCTCCAAGCGGCCCGGCGCGGCCGGCGGAACCAGACGCGGCTGCCAGACGGCGCTCAGATGGGGGAGCCCGTCCGCCTGGTCCCACGTCCGGGGCGAAGCTCAAGTTATTGGGGGGACAACTTTCCCAAAGGGAAGCCTCCAACCGAAACCTGGTCGCTTGGTGTGGGAGCCACGCCCACGCACCCCTAGAGGAAAGAGGCCGCGCACACCTCGGGCCTCAGGGCGCGGAACCCGTACAATATCCACAGGCCTCGTCAGTGCCGCTTGGGGACAGCCAGGCTGAGGGGGCCCCAGACCACTGGCCGGGGTGCGACAAGGTGATCTGAACCAAGTGGGAAAGGGGGTGTCACTGGGGTGCCCTGCAGGGTCTGGCGAAGGCAGTGGAAGGCACCAGAGAACGGCATGGACGCCCAGGTTCCGCGCGGAACCTGCTCGTGGCGGGACAGGGGTTTCTGGATCGGTTGCTGTTTT